GAAAAGGCTCACCACCTGAGCTGAATGTTCAGAAGTGCTTTGCTCCACGCACCAGGGATGCCCCTTTCCTTGACCTTTGCTCTTTCTTTGTTCACAGACATTTACCGCAACATCCTCATCACTTTTCTTCCCATAATATTTTGCTCAGTGTGTTTTCATGGCACAGCAAGGGCTTCTACATGACAACAGTTTACTGGCACTCTGGATGCTTCCTGCAGCATACCCGTTCTGAGTCACATTCCCTATTCATATTATGCTCAAGATTTAGCAGCTGAAGAAGCCTTCACTTGCCCTGTCTACAACTGAATTTTTCCCCAACTATTAAAGAACAGGAATTAATGAGTCATATTGCTGCATTTTGTTGTCAATGAAGATTTACTGCATCTAGACTTTTTCCAATGCCTATTCACAGAAGCAGGTATTCTCCTGAACGTTAGTTTTACAATTTGGGACTACTTGTGGCCTTTACTACTACTTGTGGCAATAAGTTCTGACATCAGAAACTCTGAAAGGAAGGTACTGTCAGGCCGTCACAGAATGATGATTAGTCTCAATGATTCAATAGTGGTTAATCTGATGGAGATATGGCCAGAGTTTTAGTCTTTTATTTTAACAGATTACCTGTGTGAGCTATTGCCCTACTGCTAGATACAGGCCTGTAAGTCTGTGAACAGTCTTATTGAAATCAAGGACTTGATCTTTAAAATAGTATGAAATTTCTCAGTGTAAATATAGTTACTGGACTGAGGCCCGAAAATACTTCTTTCCTTTTCATTTCCATTTTGTCAAACTGGAAATATAGTTTCACCAAACTTTCAGGGTAACAAACACGCAGAAACACAAAAAGTAACACTTACTGTTTAGTTCATTTGCATTAAATGTAGTGTATGTTGCGTTAAAGCCATTGTAATTTTCAGAATAATCGGATATAAATTCTGCTGTAGCCTCATGAGAAAAAATGTAAATTGTCTCAGGATTAGTCCCTGACAGAGAAGCTGAGAAGAAAAAAGAATAGTATAGTCAAAGAGAATACAATCCCATGCACAGTAACATCCCCAGTGCTGTCACAAAAAGACAATAGATTAGTTTTTTGGTTTAGAGAAGGTTTTCCCTCTTGTATGATGATGCTGCCTACAGTAGCTTCAAAACCCTGAAAGCATTTAGTTGTTTGGCTGCCATATAAGTATTCTGCATATCCCAACTCTCATATCCATCAGTATGGATAATAACTAGTGGAGAAGCATCTCGTATAGCACAGGTATTCAAGACTATATTCATGTTTATGATGCTGTAAATGGTCTTAGAATTTACAGATATGCACTTTGAAACTCTAGAATTACAGTATTGACTACATATTTTTATTATATATATACTTATACTCACAATTTAATAATTAGCATATATACTTACAGATATTCAAAGAGTAAGGAAACTATGAAATTATGTAGGAATTTTATTTTGTGATGTATGCACTAAGGCATATAGCACAGGAACAATGTTCCAAGAATTGTCTGGACTGGGTGCTAGATAATCTCATATAGGCTCCCTTTTCCATGAAAAGTTGGACCAGATGATCTCTCAAGGTCCTTTCCAACGTGGACAGTTCTGTGATTCTGTGATGCAATGTATCTAAAGTTTGACTTTAAATTCTAAATTAATTTAAATTCACTCATATAAATTCCGTATGTGTGAAATGAAAGGATCTATGCACCATCTAATAAAATACTTGCTCCTCCATCTAAAGCTAATATGATGGGTGGGCAATAACAACTAGATTAATGACCTGAATTTCTCACTGTTCCATGAAAGTTTTTGACTTGGCTCTTTCTCTTCTGAAGTCCTTGCTCAGTTTTGCACAGATAGAGAGACGTTGTTTCTTTGAGGAGGAGCTACTGTAATAATACTATTTGTAATAATATATATTTGAAACAGTGTCACATTTGTAAGGAAAGACAATGGGCATCATCTTTCACACTTTTAATTATATGTGCATTATTTTCCTTCCTCCTTCTCAGGATCCTTTATTTATTTAAGTGGAAAGTCTTGATCTGGAAATGTCTTCTAGTCCTTCTTTCCTCTACATTTGGTATTTCCTATACGTGGAAATATACCTCTCAAACTGAAAGGTTTTAGGCAATCCATTGAAGGACAGTCTTTAACATTGTCTTTATGTCTTTTTGGTATCACTGATCATCCCCACAGCAATTCTTAAAACCATGCAAGTTAATGGTTGCTGCAGAGAATATTATTGAAGCAATGTCTCATGTCTAAACTGAAATTCCAAGGAAGGGTTAAGTACTGAAAGGGTAGATTTCTTTATTTTATGAGTCTTTTACTATTTCTTGTTTCCATTCTCTCCCTGCTTCCAAAAATGAGGATAAATAATAATATATCATTCTGACTTATCTCTATATATTTATTTTCAAGTACATGTATTACACTCCTGATGGAATTTAGCTGGACAGACCAAGTCTTGTGAAAAATGGGCAGAAACCCAGTTTTCCAGACCAGAACATAGAGGGAGAGATAAAGTTTAATCGATATTTCAAAGTCTGAGGAAAAGAATGCTATACTCGCAATTAATTGCAGGGAGTATCATAGTACTTCTCCCAACAGCTTCAGTTTAGATGTTTTCATTTTATGTCACTATGTGTGATGTTACAGGATCTTTTGACAACATATTTCTAGTGAAACATGGACCCCACAAAATCATGAATGTATTAAAGTTATTAAGATTGTTCAAATAAGATTTTTAAAAGAGAAAAATCTTAATATATTATATGGTCATTTCATAGAAGTAGATAAGTATATCAAGATCAATTGTCTGACAAGTAAAACAACATAGAGGCAATCTTCCACTTTCAAATATACATGCGGTTTTTTTCACTTCAAAACACTTATTTTACCACTTAAAATATGTTAATTGAATAGTAATATTAGTTGAAAAATAACCTTACCTCTTAAAATCTTTTTTTTTCCTTTACCTTCAAAAATATCTAAATTGTCTGCATATTGTTGTGTATGAAAAGAAGTGAAGTTCAATTTAATGGATAATCCTTGAGGCACTCTAAGATAACAAGAGAAAAATAAACCTCAAAACTGAAAGTCACGTTTGACTAATATTTTTTTTTACTCTAGTAAATCAATTGTGTGCTTGAATGATATTAAGTTCAGAAACAAAGTAAAATTACATTAACCAAGATTATTAATCAAGATTACCCATTTGGTTAACTTCTAATTTGTAAAATTACCAAAGGAATAGAGCCTAAACCTTTTGTAACAGTATTATTAATCCTTTATTCACTGAAGTTAAGTAAATTTTAGGAACTGAATCTTCTGAACTCTGGGATTTGATATTCAGCTGAATTTTTTTGTATGTGTTTTTTCTTTTTCTGAGCATCTCATTAATTTTCAATTACTTTTTAACATATTACTAATAGATAACATCTCACTGCTCAGGTATACTTTTCAAAGTCAGAAGGACAGCATCATGGTATCAATATGAATAACAAGATATCATCATCTGTCTCCTGAAAGTCCAAAATAATGTCTTTTATGGCAAAACCAGGATTTTCATGAAGATTTAAGGATCTTAAGCCCACTGTTTGGGAATGTTATCAAACCTAACCATCACCCAGTAAGTTAAATAACAAAAGTTCAACACAAGTATAAAAAATGCTGGTGGTTTTTTTTGCTGCAGTTACATTCTTTCACTAATCTATATTTAAGTAGTTCTCCCATTACATTTCCACTAAACATATATGGTAGTTCATAAAACTCTAGTATCATGATCACCTTTGCTTCTTATACTACCATTTGTTGTTTTCTGGAATTGAGAGCCCCAGTGACTGCTTCTGCTTATCAGTACTGATTAGTAGATAAGGATTAAGCAAATATTTGAATATTTGCATTTGCTTTGTTTGGGTTTTTTTGTTGTTGTTGTTTGGGGCTTTTTTAAATATATTTCTCCATAGGAAAAAAAAATTCTTGGTTTGAAAAGAGTAAAACATACAGCTGAAAGGTAATCTTTCAGGAAGATAATCTTTCAGGAAAATATTGGGCATACTGCTTCTTTTAAATGGAGGGAAAATTACATCTTCATTTAGGGAGGAGTAAAATGGGGAGAAAATGGAAAAAAATTTCCTAAATGTAATGGGGGAAAATCTTCTTAGAGAAAGAAAGGCAGAAGAGAAATCAAATCTTGGATGTATTGTAGGGTGACTTTTAACACATTTTTG